AAAAAATAGGCAAGAAACCATTCCTAATGTGGCACAGATCAGGGAGGGTTCTGCCCATTAACATCCCCATTATCCAGTGACACTAGGATAAACACAGCTAATGCTCCTGAAGATCCCCCAGTCTTAACCCTACCATGTTTGTCGAGATAGGAGAGCTGATAATCAAGTGGCCCCATCTCCTGATGTTGAGCTGCAGCTATCCTGGATACCCACACTTTCTCCTGATGTTTGTCCTGAGTACAGCAGGCTTGACTTTGAACTAAGCATTAGAGTTGAATTTTGACAAATCTGTAGACTCAAATTAGAAAGCTTGAGTTTATACCAATTTGAACCAATTAGCAGGCTTGAATTCTGACCAAGAAGAACCTTTAATTTAAACCTATTAGAGGCTCAGTTTTGAGCCAACAACAAGCCTCCTTGTGTACAAGAAGCAAGTTGCTCACATTTCCTGTGTTGCTCTAGAATCTCTCCCTGTGGTGTGCTGGACCCCTGTGCTGAAACATAACCTTCCCTCTGATGGTTCAGTAACTCAATGTGTGAGTTACTTAGGTAGTGTGAGCTCAGCATGCCCTGTAAATTGACTCAGCATCCTGAGTACCATGAACAGAGTAATCTCTTACAAAGAGCAGTAAACAGTGAAGATTGTTAATCCTGATGTGCTCTAGAGACCAGCAGTAAAAGACATGGCAACCAGCAGTGCTGATCGAAGGCATTCAGCAATAATGTGTGTTGACTAGGATTAAAGCCCAGAGTGTAACAAAAAGGGCTGGAGTCCATGGATGCTCAAAACCTAGTCTCTAGAAGAACTTCCCTTTGCTGATTTATGATTTCTAACTGGTTCAAACAAAGATAGTCTCTACCGACTGGTAGCATTTTTCTGCTCTACAGTCTTAAAAATTTATATTAAAGACTAACTTTTATAAATTCATGGTATAAAGGTTTTTTAAATTTAAATTTCTCAAATAAGTAAATATCAAGCAGGCCTTTTTATTGACCAGATTTCCTCTTTGGTCTGCCTGTAAGTATTCTCTTCTTCCCTGTACATACACTTTGGGCATTTATACATTACATGACTAGTTATCTTTTGGTATACATTACTTTGAGATTTAAATGTCTTCAGCTTTTCATTGTTCCTGCCAAAATAATAATAGTTGTTTATTTATTGCCTTGTCTTATGGACTATATATAAACATTCATGAGGTATCATTTGTCAACTTCAGATGGATGGGGTTGTTTGTATTTTTAAAATGTTAACATAATCAGAGTTCATATCCATTGTGAGGAATACCTATTGCAAATATTTTTAAAACCTTTCTACTGAGAGCTTAGTATCTTCACTTATTACCATGTATCAGTTTTTTGTGATTTTTATAATTTTAAATATTTTGAGTCTCTGCTTTTATATTCCTTTGAATTTATACTTCAGATTTTCTATATGCATATTTTTATCTTTGTAGAACCACTTATTTTTATCAAGTGATGTATAATTTAGTATAGAATGCCCCATTATATTTGATTTAGAACCTCCTGGATCTGATTATTTTTTTATTTCCTTCTTTTCTGGTGCTGTATTTTATAAACATCTGTTCTAAAATCTCATGGATACATTTTTGAGTCTGAATACAATGTTATATTTGGAGTTTTTAGAGCACTTTTATTTACTGTGTTTATCAGCATATTATTTATGTGATTCATATACCTATAAAAATTAAATGAGTTGATATGTTAGGCATTCAGCAAAAGGCCTAGGAGGTAAGTTTTAAATTTTAAGTATTGCTGTTCATACCATCTTTTTTGTTTTTTAATTATGATTTATTAATATGGAATTCCTAATTTTTTCTCATCTAAAATTAGTTTTGTTTAGTTTGCAAATAGTAGTTTAGCAAGATATAGACATTTAGGTTGATGATCACTTACTGTTAATGCATTGAAGACAATATATATTCTTTTAATTACTTTCAAAATTTTTCTGTTAAATGCATGTTAAGTAATTATAGTGTTCTATCTCTATGATGGGTTTGGCTTTTTGTTCATTTTATCCACGAATGTATTATGTTTTCCAATAAAATGTCTCCCAAAAGTCCTGAAGCATTTCACATAATTATTTTAAGTATTTTATTTTACTTCATTCTTCATATTTTCTTCCTGGTAAAACTGAATATTTGCTTTCTATTTTACATCTTTGGAAATATCTTGGTTTACCTATATCTCTGTTGTGCTTTATAATTTTATGCTCAGTTCATAAATTGTAATCAGCTATATCTAGTATCACTTTTAGGTTAAATTATAAGCTCAATTTATTCTTTTTAAAATTCTATTCATGCTGGTTGTGGCCACGAATGCCTGTAATTCCAGTTACTCAGGAAACAAAGGATTCAAGGCCGTCCTGGGGAACTTAAAATATTTCAAAATAAAAAAAATAAGAAGTTCTGGGCCGTAGCTCAGTAGTGCAATTCCTGTTCATCCCCATGACTGAAAAAAAAAGCTACTCAAGATTTTAATGGTGTAACTTACTCATGTATTTTGTTGCCCTTCTTATTTGTTTAAATATGCTTTCTTTTTATTTGAAACAGTCTAGTATTCAAAGTTCTTGAGGGCAAATATTGCTTCCTTTTTGGATTACTCTTCCATGAATATTTTATGAATTTTATTTTTACATCATTGTCTACAAAATATTATCAATCTACATAAGTTTTCTATGTTGCAGATATATTGTGCTGTCAGAGTACTTTGGCAGAGTCTTGAAACAACTAGGGATCTCAGAGTCTTTACTAACACTGAAAAACTACTTGAGTCTGAGGGTTCAGTGGGAGAGTGCTTGCCTAGCACTGCAGCATGCCCAGGTTGGATCCACAGAACCGAGGTGGTTGAAAGGGAAGCAAATGGTCTTAGGACCAAGAGAGATTGTATTCACCTGCTTTATACTACAAATGAACTTTGCCATTTTTGCTTCTTTATTAGTTGGTACTATTTATAAATGTATTGATTTTAAAATCCCCATTGCCTATCTTGAAAGTAATTTAGATTTATATCTTGAAAGCACATATAGCTAATGCAAAAAGGAGTTACAGAATTTTTAAAAATACACAAATACAAAATCAAGGTTAATGTTTATTCAAGACAAAACTACACTATTTTTTTTTAAAATATCCTAAACAGAGTAAATGCATATGTAAGTTTTATAATTGCAATTTTGATTTTGGGAGGTTTTTTAAATAAAGAAGTTTTTATTAATTAAAGCAATTTAAGTTTCCAACAAGAAGAGATTGTGGAGGGTTTTTTTTTTTCCTTAAATTCATATACCTCGGAAGTACTTGGCATATTAATAGTATTAAGCAAATATTTGCTCAGTGAATAAATAAATGAGAGTGGAAAAATACATGAATGTACTATGCCTTTTGTTTTGAAAATGACAAATCATATTTTGAAGTATCCTTTTATCCCAAGGAAATTTAAACAGTTGATTTTGACACATTTATTACATCCCTGAGGAAATTTTTTCTTCATTTTACCTTAAATTTTAATTATTACCCTCTAAATAATGCAGATTATTTTTTCAGGGTAGATTTACATTCTTAAGCCTTTTTATCTATAATCTTTTGATTTTCTTTGTCTTTTCTGGACAATGTTCCTATTTCAATAATCTTAATGCCACTCATTGATTCTAACATAAAAATATCAGATTCACTTTTAATTTTGATTGAAAATTGACTTAATTTTTATGATTGCTTTAAACTTAATAGAGCTTTTAACAGATATGGAATTGGTCAGCTCTTATGTTTCTTATATTAAGTGACTAATCATCCTACCATATTATTTAAAAAATAAACACCATTGAACTTTTTTTAAATGTAATTTGCAAAATATACTAAAATACTTGGCATAGGCTTAAACTAGTTTGTCAGTTTGAATAAGGTTATTATTTCATATGCAAATATGCTCTGAAAATTTTATAATCAGTTAAGGAAATGTTATGTAACAAAATTTCCATCTCTACAGCCAATATAGATAGATAGAACAGGGTAAAGTCAGGACTGGTGAAGTCATTTGCCTCTTTTCATATAGAAATTGAATGAAATAACACAAATATTTTCACTTTTTCATTAACTTCTACCCTGGCAACACAGCAGGGTAAGAATCACTGCCAGAAACTTTGCCCTGCAATACCTCAACTGTGTATTTGTTTCTCGTGTCTTTTCATTTCAACTGTATTTTTAATTCAAATAGATTTTCACTAGCAAGTCCACTAATGTTAGAAGATGACATTTATTTTGTTCACTTTTTATTTAAAATATTGCAAGAGTGAGCCTTGGTATCATGAAATGTGCTCAGGCTCCTGCGCACAGAATGGTTGAACCAAAGTCATGTGACTAGCACAGGTCAGGCTCAGTAAACAGGAAGTAAATGAAAGATGAGTGGGTGGAAGGCTGACAGCGCGAACGGTAGATGTTAAAAACTTTTGGAGACACTCTGTGCTGTTTCACATTGTATCTGAGCCAGTCTTTCCATCGCTTGTTTCCTGAGCTAATAACATTTCTAAATTCTGCAACAATATGCTAAATATGCTTTGGCAACCACTTATTCTGCATTCAAGCATAAAAAGCTTCAACTCATTTACAGAGTTTTTAAAATTTAATGATTTTATATATGGCTGAAAACCTGATATCTTGATAATAGAAAGTAATAGTCTAAGATACTTAAAAACAACTGAACAAAATCTGATACTATGACATACTAAAATTAGTCCTAGATAGTCAGCTGATAGAGGTATGTATGGAATAGGGACTTTGGAAACAAAAGCATTGTTTCTCATTCATTGCTTGTAAAAAATTTTCTGTGTAATTATTAGGCCATGATCTCCTGAATAAACTTTACTTTTGAAATTAGTTTTAAAAATAATTTAATAAACTCATTATGTGAGAACATTTTTTTTCTGTACATTGTAAGTGTTGTATGGGAGTTATTGAATCACAACCAATATACTGATCAGGGATTTAAAATAATTTACAAAATTAATTTAATAAAATGCCTAAAACAATAACTAACAGTTATTAACCAAACAACAATGAAGCTGTCTATATTTTCATTTGACAATACATTTAAGGCAAATATTGAATTAATATAATATTCAATAAACTAATACCTCACACAAGATACAATAAAAATTAATGTCCACATTGAAGATCACAAGTTATAACAATATGCCTTCTAAAAGCCTTCTATAATTTCCTGGTGGTCAAAAAATATCTGCATGTGTTGAGCACAGCTCAGTGTGGCCTAATAAGATGTCAACTGGAATACCCAGACTATTTCTTAGAGTAGGACACTACATTTTCCCTACCATGCCAGGTAAAATAATTTAATATATTTATTTTAACAAAAGGTTCATATGAACTCCAAACTATAGTTTGTGTGTGTCTTTAACTCTTAATATTAACTCTGCTTCTTAAAGATATCTACAATTGACATTCTATTCTCATGCTGTTCCAAAAAGGAACAATGTATTTATCCTGAAAGTGTTACTGTGATTCACCCCTAAAATTTACTTTATATGGTAAAGTTTCATCATTAAAATCCTACTACTTAAGTGCATATATATATGTCAAGTTCGATTCCACTATATTTTGTAGAACCAGCACAGATGTTGATGCTACACAAGCTGTGTGTACACATCTAACTTTGCACTCTGACCCTGTTATTTAAAGGTTCTGTGTCTTAGTCCCTGGACTACAAAATGAGAACCTTCTCACAATTTTCAAAGGGCAGTACAGAGTTTAAGAATGTACATCCCTAGCACAGAGCTCAGAATGGTACAGAGCGCTTCCAGTGTGAATGCCTTTTCTCTCTTCATCATTCCTGGTATAACGGGTTAACTGGAGATTAGTGAACAAATATGTTAGAAGTTACTGGAATAAATCAGATCCACTAAAAGACTTATCTACACTGCAGGCAATAGTACATTTTCAAAGTAACATTCAATGAGATCAAAACATGGGTTTCAAAAATGTATTTACACTTTACAGATCATATGCAGGGAAAGACTTTTCAGGTCAACAATGAGAAAAAGAACAAATAAGCTGTGTCTGTGTGTAAAGTTTAATTTTGTAAAAACAAAGAAATATACCGATTTTATTAAATGTTCAGTGTTCATGGACAGGTCACACAGCAACTGACATCAACATCAAAAATATTAAAATAGAGATTCTCTAAAGGAAAGAGTCTTTCTTTAACGGGGTTGATAATACTTAGTAGTTTCCATTATTTGTCCATGAAAGCTAAGAAAGGTGCTATTTCAAGCAGGATTCTAGTAGAACTTGGCACATAAGTTTTGACTTTTTAAGCAACTATTACTCTTCATTTTCTTGTAGGTTCACTCACTCAGACAATCTCACATATACATACAGTAATATTAAAAACATACATGGCTGTAAAGCAGGAAATTCATCCTAAAATTACATTTTCTACAACAAAAGCAGGTCACCATGTTTATGTCCAATGTCTCAGTCAGGGAAATGGGTTTTCCTCATGGATCTGCTGATTAACATACACTATTATGTCCAATATTTCAAAAGGTGTGTTTCTAGGAAGAGCTGTTGGATCATGTGCAAGAATTCTAAGGCAATATAAGTAGTTGTTCCACAGGAGATATATGTATCTGCCTTTGCAATGATATACTCTTGAAAGTCTTTATTCTTCAAATGCTACCAGCCAGACATATGGAGACATTCATAGTCTACAGTTGGCTCAAAGGTCAAAAAATTGTTTTAAAAAAAAGTTTATGGAATAGCACCATAGGAAGTTTTTCTGAAAAAAAAACAAAACAAAACAAAAAGCCTTTTCAACGTTGCATTTTTTGAACTGAATTCCAGGAAGCAAATATAGAGAGATTTTTAAATTCTCACAAGGGCCACTTCCACTTCATTCGATTTTTTAAAAAAACACTAACCATGACATCAACAATAATAACTACAACAATAATTCATCATCAACAAAAGAAAGACAATAGCAGCAGTAGTAATTTGAGTATGAATCATCCAGGCAGTCACTTAGAAGAACCCTGTGCATACCATGCAGGAGTTTTCTCATAAGGATTGTAAGACATCACAGGGCTCTTACGTTTTGTGTGAAAAGGCAGCAGTCCTTAGAAGGAACTGAGTTTACCAATCAACTGGGCATTTTCCAGTAATTAAATAAGTGATGTCTAGACTTTAACTGCATTAGTAGATACTATCAACACTCTGAACTTGTCAAAATGTAAGTACAATGAAGTGGTCTCAATATTATTTGCATTTTACAGAAGTTAAATTGGCCTACGAGTGAAAATAATAAAGCTGAAATATTCCAGTTTCCAGACATTGCACACACATACACGCACACACGCACGCACACACGCACGTGCACACACATGGTAAAAACCACCCTCCAAAGACTCCCACTTCACATCACCTTACATGAATCTGGCTTACATTGTATCATTGATACAAAGTCAAGGGAAATACACTAAAGGTAAAGGGTTTTCCAATTTATGACCTGCAAGGTCATTGTATGTCCCCAAATCTTGGAAAATAGTCAAAAGGAACACCCTTCAGGGTAATGGCCCCAGAGGTGAACTGTCTGAGTCATGAGGCATCTGTTTCAAGCTGTGAACAAAAGCTGTTGGGGTCTTTTCTTGAAGCACGCGGTGCCCATCCACCAGATTTCTTAATGCATCAAGCAGAGTTCAAATATTCCTGTAATGCTGGTCACCATTAGCTGGAAATTCCTCTTTCAGTACAATGAGTGTAATTTGATCTTACAGTTTTCTTTTGTTCAAACTCACTATATAAAACATTTGTGCTAATGTCCTCAGTTTAAAAAAAAATACATCTTGTCTCCACTGTGCACATGCCTTTACGTTCTGATAGAGGTTCAGATGCTATTTTTTGGTATGCATGCTTTCTGGATATCTTATGCTCTTGTATCTTACATAAAATCCTTTCTTGTTGATTGTGTCATCAGTGTGAAAATGAATTAAAACTGCATCTCCAATGGAATAGATTTCTTCTGCTGGCTGAAGGAAAAAAGTAACAGAATGAATTAAATTTTCTTCAGTGCAATATATACTTGAGTATATTTTTCTTTGACATATAGTTTAATCCTCTCAACAACCTTGAAAAGCAGATGTGATAGAAGTCTTCCTTTTACAGATGAGGACTTTTCACATTCAGAAAACAATCTCATGCCTATAGATCACATGGCTAGTGCTGTAGGTGGGGTTTAAGCATCCATTAGTCTATTTCTAAGCTCTGAATACATTCTAGAATTTAGTATTTTTTTCCACTGCACCCTCAGTCCAGGTTATTTTGATCTACAACAAAGTAAAGTGAGATTTTGAAATGACAGAGTAAATTTGTTTTACAAGTGACTCAGACAGAGTCACTTGCAGAACCTAACTTTTCCACTGCTGTTGTTGTATTAGGTATTAAAACCAGTGTCTTGATGCTGAGCTACATCTTCATTCTTTTAATTTTCTGTCAAGATCTCACTCAGTTGCCCGGGCTGGCCTCTAACCTGGTCATCCTCCTATGTCAGCCTCCTGAGTCGTGAAGATTACAGGCATGTCTATTGAACTCAGTTGCTGCTTGTCATTTTAATAACCTCAGTATTAAGAAACATCTTTGCTTCACTTTAGTTGTTATTTAGACACTACTTCAACGGTATTATTTAATGAATATTCATGGACTTCAAAAAATTGGGAGTAATATTTTCACAAAAAGCATATTCCAAAAACTACTTATTAGTGCATTGAGCTGTAGGGAAAACTACTGAGAAAAGTGAGGATCATCTTGTTCTCATCTCTCATGATGACCTCCCCAGACTTGTCCAGGACTCTTTTACCTGTACATGTGACACTGCGCAATAGAATGCTATTTCCCCAGCACTTGCCGAGCCCAAACACTGATGGCTAAGACTATGACTCTCACCCAAAGTATTTGCACAAAAGGTGATGTGAGTTAGATGACACACATATTTGTGTTTTTCCCTGTACGTTTTCATTTGGGAAAGTGACAAAAATTGTTAAGGGTTTGCATTTACGTATTTTGCTTTTAGGTTATAAATTAAACAATTATTGTACATTATAAGGAACACAAAATGACAAGAAACTAAATTCATTTGCTCATCTAAAATTATCAGGCAAGTCCATTAGAGACAGAGATGTGGGAAGTGTAGAGGAGTCATCAGGTCATTGATAAACAATGTAAATTATTTTGAAAGATATTATCAATTCATAAATGGTATACCTACCCATCATCAGTTACTAGGAATTTTAAGGTGTGTGAGGATATCCTTTTGGTAGTGTATTTACTTACCCCAGATCCACAGAATCGACCGAGCCCCACAGCTGTTGAATCAAGACCATCAAAGAGCTCCACATAGTCATAACCACAGTCAGCCTCTTCTTCCACTTCAAAGGCCTGGAAAGATAATTCAAGTCGAGAGCCTCGTTCTGATACGAGCAGCCACTCACAGTCGACCTGTCCTGGATAGTTGTTGTCACCAAACTGTGCATGTGAGTACAGATCTCTGGGTTTTGGTTCTGCTTTCAATCGACCACCACACTCTGGCCAGGAAAGAAAAATGAAATGAGGAAGTTCAGTGAGCTTTTATGGGTTCAATGTCAATTTCGATGTATTCTACCTGTTCTCTAATTTGCTTCTCTTCCATCACTAGATGGACATCCAGAACCAGGGGACCAGGTAGTGTCACAGGACTAATGGCACAGGTGCCAGACACAGGCTGCCCAGGCAGAACCCGAGCTCCAACACACACTAAGTGCACCATGGGGCAATGGATGTCACTGCTCTGATCCCATTTCCTAAGGTGATCATAGTGGCAGCAGGTTTTCAGAATTTAATAAGTGAAAATCACATAATAAGTCTCAGTAATTTTTTCACTGTCACAACTAATGCTGTTTTTATTCTGTAATAATTCATTTCATGGAAAAAAGGTCAGGATCTTAACTTGATTTTAATCTTCATAATTTCAGGACCCAACATTTAAAGAAACAACTTAAAAATCAGTAAAATGTATAAAATGTATGCGTGGTTATGAATGTAGAGCTATGTATTTTAGGTAAAAATAAATTATCAAGCATATATACATAATAAATGACAGTTATTTTTGTAATTTCAGAAACTTACATTCAGTTACAGAGTGTGTGCCTACTTTAATAAAAGAAAATAAATGTACTATTCAATTGATTTTTTTACAGATATATGAACAAACATATGCTCTGCCAGTTATTGCCTTGTCATTAGAGGAAACTATATCAAAGAAATAAATCAGCGAGCATAAAAACTTTTATGTACAATATAGAGAATAAAAGCTTCAAAAACTATTCTCAGGATCCCTTTATTGTCAAAGCCCCATAACTTTATAACTGGAGAGTTAACAAAAGCAGGGAGAAACGATCAAAAATACAGTGAATGCTACTGCTCAGTGTCATCCAACAGAAAGGCAGATTTGTCACACTGCAGTCTGATCTCCTCCACCTCAGTCATGAAACCTGGTACCGTGTGCCTTTTGATTCCTCCCCATTGTCAAAATGTCTATGAGAAGCATACAGTCTGAGCTGATTCAGGGCAAGGGAACAAAAGACACCAAAGAACTTCCACAACTCCTCCCAAAAATAGCAAGAGCAGGGGATAAATGTGTTCAAACCAAGGAGAAACATTTTTGAGGGGTATCAATGGCAAAGTGCCCTTTATGGTAATAAATTTCTTTTCATCTAAATTTAATGATTTTTTTTAAATCACACCTCACGTACATAGGAAAGGACATGTTTTTGAAAACATGCAAAAGAAAAACTTCCGACTTAAGAGATTTTGTTTCCTAGCCTCACACATCGGAAGCTGAGTGCCCGCCTTTGCCATCAGAGCGCTTTCCTTATCCTGCCAACTCCGGGCACTGGCATCCTCCCCCGCGGCAGCCTCCTGTACGTGTTGGTGAAGGGAAGCGTGCTAGTCAAATGGTCTGCGTGGGGATCGCAGCTCTATTCCTCTTTGCTCTTTGTCTCACAGCTTCCTTTGTATTTTGCTTTTACGTGTGTTTGTGCTCTGAATTGAACCCAGGCCTCCCATGTACTAAACATTTGCTCTGCCCCCAGGCCTCACACCTACATTCCTAAGCGTGAAGATCCTACATAGTCCGCATATCATGAGTTCTAGATGGAGAGCAATTGAAAAGGTGTGTAAAAGGTTGAAAGGTGCCTGGCACATAGTGAAAGGCCGTAGTAAATGGTCATTATCATGGTCATCATTTTCCTGAGAGACCACTCAAATGCCATCACCTGTGAGCTAGTAACCACTCGCTATGAAATGAAAAGCCAGAAAACTAGACAACTTAAAATAGTATTAATTTGCTAGTAGAATGGAACAATTATATTTTTGAAGTCGTAAAAAGTATTTCATGCAATGTATTTCTGAATTTAGTAGAGAAATACGTAAACCAGACTAATTCTATTCTTCGGTTTTTAAAAATCTACTAGTTCTCCAAGTTTAATATAATTGAAGGCTTTGCTTTTGACTCTCAAACGACTGTCAGCACTTGTCTTTTTTTCAGTCTCAGGCCAGGAGAAACTGAAGGGGGAGACCAGGAGATCTAGAAGAAGTCCTTAGATTTGTGTGCCTGCTTCAGAGTACCAGGCGGTGGGGAGGGAGATGGATCCGGAGAGGAAATCCTCTGCCAGCCCAGCTGGAACAAAAACCAGGGAGGAAAAGATGGAGCAGCAAAAGACGAAAAGAAATTTCACAGTCCTTATGAGCAGAAAGTCACAGAAAGCTGTGTGATTTGGTGTTATAGAAAACTAGCCTACTTTTTAAAAAAAAATGCCTTACATGACATTTATGAATCATTTTAAAGGCTGTAAAAAAAGTCTTTATCTATTTCAGTGCGTAGTCTCACTCCTATAAATCATTATTCCTACTAATAAATCTGCAATAATGTTCTAATCATGAAAAGGAAAAAAAGAACTTAGCCTACAGGATGAATTTTTTAATGCTTAGCCTTTGGATATTATGTGTACAAGATGTGTGATTTTAATATACTCTAAGAGAAATACCATGAGCTAAAAGTGATGGATAGCACAAGGGAAATTACTTTAGTGATTCTGGAGTCTCCGTGACTAAGTACACTCTCATCAGTACACCATTCAACAGGTCCCTTGAAAGGCATGATTTTGAAGTTGAGTCAATATATTTTCAGAGAATGTCCCTATGCATGAAACCAGTCATTCAGTATATCAGAGGTATGATTTTTCAATTAACAGCTTGAAGGTAATTTACAAGCTGTCAGAACATCGTCTACAGAATTCTGGGAAATGGAAAATGAAGTTCAGTCCATAACAGTATCAGAAGGTGAAGCCCAGGGTGGTCTCCGTTTTAACTGAAAAGACATGTTTGTTTATTCCTGTTGAAGTATTAAATTCGGGAAGAGGTCCTATAATTTGACCTATAAATGCCTTAGTGAACATTCTAATTTACTTAGAATGTTCAAAATTGATCAAAATTGATCAAAAAATTTTCTTTCCAAGTTGCACAATACTAGACTATTTTATTTTTTAAATGTCAAGGACAAATAATATGATACTTTATATTACAAGAATGCCCTAATAGACAATGTCATGTTTTTTAAGTAATTGTTTCTCTCCATGTTTTTTGCCCTTTCTGTAACAGTGATACCTTTTGAGAGAACACAAGATTTTGTTTTTACTATGAAATTTGTTTCTTTCAATTAGTTTACATAATGCTGGAGTAATACCATTTGTTATCTATTAAGATAAATTTATAATTAGAATCTGAATCAAATGTCAAAGGAAAAAATGTTTCTTCCTAATAAAGTCTACTTTCCATGACTTGGGTCATATTACTTGTGGAAAATAACCATAATGTTGTGGACAGCTATTTTTCAATTCATGTGTTATAATGCTAGAAGTTTTTGTTGCAGGAAAAATTAAAAATTGTACACAGAAATATAAATTTAAGCACATTGAAATGTATGCTTGGGGACCCAAAGTAACTGCTACATCCATTCTAGAAGGCAGTAAATAATGCTGCAATGTAGGAAAAGTTAATAGATGTGGTTTGAATTTGGCTGTCTTGTCAAAAGAAACAGAAAGATAAACTGAAAATCAAGTTTAATGTAGTCTAAAGCTGTTAACAGACAGAAATTTCTTCTACTGTCTTATAAATTTCTAATTTCTTCTTGCAAATTATTAATGCATTACATTGTGTACCCAAAGCAGTTGTCAAAAAAACTTTGAGACAGCATACACTGTAAGTGGTACATAAGAATATGTCAGCCTAGATTGCACAAAAAGTATTTTTAAAAATCTATGCAGAAAATTCCAATATGACTGGATACATTAAATATTTGTAAATTTACAGTAACAAAGAAATATAATACAAAAATTTTGATAAGAATAGACAACAGGTGTTGTGAAGTCAGCACTCTAATTGCAACTGTTACTTTTTTGCTGCTTCAGTTCTCACAAAAATTTTTAGCCAAAGATTGTTCATGGCTGAAATGTCAGAGCTGGATTAAACAATATCCAGGCCTGTTTTGCTGAAAACGGTGTCACTGGACTGCTCAGTAATTATTTCAATCAGCATGAACTGAACAGTGAAACACAATGAGCCTCTTTTGTTACATATTTTAAACAGAGAATTTGCTCCAGATCTATATAAATCTACAAGGAAGCATTCAATCCTTACCTATTGTTCCAAATCACAACTGATACAGGCTTTTTAATCAGCTTTTTGGTAATTCAAAAGTTCTACACTGAAAAATGTATGGCGGAAAGTATATTAATTTTGGAGGCAGGTGATCAAACCTGAGCTTTGACACTATTTTATTTTTGCAGTCATCTTTTTTTACTGTTTTTATGCTCATGATACACAATAATTATAGTCAGCTTGGGGAACTGATACATATACATGTTACATCCCAATCATTTTAACTTTGGCACTGCTTTACAAACATTTGGAAGTTAAGTAATCATCTAGATTTTCATTTCCAAAAGGAAAGATGATAATCTCTATGTCATAGAGTTCCTGGGAGACTTCAGTGTGTAAATAGGATGTAAACAGGAAGTGTGCATAGAAGGCATAAAGTTTAGGAAGTTGTGAACCTTTAGAACTGTACATAGCTTTGATATTATTATTTTCAGATGACACAACTGGGATCCAATGAAATGGCCTTTTCTAAAGTTTCCTCCTAAGTTACACTTGGACAGAGGAACCAGAGGTACTGGCATGAAAACATTATTTATTCTCAATTCTCACATTAATAAAGGACATAAAGAAAAACTCTAGAAGTTGGTTTTGATACAAATCAAAATTTATAGAAGGTAATTTTTCACTCCTATGTAATCAGTTATTTCAAGAATTTTGTTTTTAACAACCTATTTTCACACTGCATTCTCTAAAGCTGTGGTAGCCAAGCTATTTACTTAAATACCAAGAACTTTGTGCTGTTATAAAATAATGTTAAATTACAGCAGTAAGATTCAAATTTTTCTTCCGTTTCAATTGTATGGCTTGAGAATATGCTTAAAGAGCAAATCTCAAATACTATAAGTGAAAAATGTCATCAATATAGTATTTGTATACTTTATTAAAGACTTCTCAAACTGTAACATTTGTGCTAATAATGAGAAGTTAAATGCGATGAGCAGGGGTCCAGTAGCTATTAGCATAAATCATACTGAGGCTCTGAGAAGGTAAATCCACTTTCTCAGAATTTAAATCTACTGCTACAATACAACATAGAGTGAAATATAACATTGGGCAATTAAATAGTTAAACTCCGGACTTTATAAATCAAAGTAAACAAAATCGGCAGGACACAGTGACAAATATTTTGTCATTGTGCTTTAAAATTATTTCATGGAGCAGTTTCCATACCAGGATACACTTCTCCAAGTGTTATCAATCTTTTCTGGATCAGCAATGCCACTAGGTGGCAGTATAAGCTAAACGACAGCAACTAACTACATTTTTTTTTTTCCCCCCCAAACTGAATGAAAGAAAGGAAGGAATTCCTCAGACAGCTTATGGAACACAGAATTAAATTGGCCACAAATTGTAAACATTATATTCTACATTTGTGCCAAAGAGTGCTTATATTTTTCTAGTTTAAAATTTATTCCCTAAAGACTCCTAGAAAAGCTGAAATCTAAAGCACAAGTTAGAATTCTAATAGAGAAAAGATCATGTTGCATACCAAATAAGAGAGCAAAAAAGGAAAAAAAAAATGAGGCACTGTGAAACAGAGAGATCACAAAATTATTTACAAAAATAAATCACTGCAGGACCAGGAATTTAGTTCAGTGGCATAAACACTTGCCTAGCAAGCATGAGGTCATGAGTTCGATCCCTGACACCAAATAAATAAAACAAAACAAAATAAAATAAAATAAATCACTGCAAAAAGCTTCTTAACCAGGTAGGCATGTAATGCAAAATACAAGTTTTGACCAAGGCATACATCCCTGTGTTAAAAGTAAGACATTAGCCACCTGCTGAAAATATAAAATCCCTTATAGAAAAATTTTGATAGTTTTATGTGATCATATTTCACTGATCACAAACTTAAATAAAAAACTTTTTTTATTTATTTATTTTTGTCTGAATATTCAGCCTCTACAGAGATATGTAGGTAGAATGCTGAGCAATTCTACAAGTGTTTCTGACAGTGTTTCAGTAAAATTTACCTGAGAGGCTAAGACATTCATTTAAGATTCTGTTAACAGTCAAACACACACATGCACCAGAAAAGAAACTTCCATCTTAGACAAAAAAGAGAAGCACAATCCTAATTTGCTGACCTGTAGAATGTGTGGCTTGAAAGCCTTTTCTTTGAACAGATGCATCAGAAATAAACCGAACAAACATTTTATTTCCAGTAGCCACAAGGGGATCCGGTATCTTGTTACCACACAGTCGTCCAAGAATTGGTGATTTTTCTGTTTCTCCATCAAATACTTCCAAATGATCATAAGCACATTCTTGATGTTGCTCAATCTCAAACTCACTAAAGGCCTATTGTAAAACAGAATAGAAAAAAAATGTACTCATAAATCACAAAAATCATTTAAAATGAGTTTTATTTTTCTTTCGTGGTAGAAATTGTACATATAACATGACACTCAGGGTATACAAATGATTTTACCCATTCACAATGAGGAAAAAAAGTTTGCGTATACTATGGTTTGATCCTTGACTGCTTCCTAAAAGCCTGTGCTTGGTCCTCATGGTAGCACTGTTGGGAAGCAGCAGACCCTTTAAGAGGTGGGCTAGAGGGAAGTCCTTAGGTCCTTGGGGGCTGCCTTCCTGGCAGATTCTGGCCTCTGCTCTTCTCCCCCTTCTGGACCTAAAGTCAGCAATTCTGCTCTATTGTGTTCCCCAACCAGAATACGCTACCTTGCTATAAACCACAAAGCAACAGATCATCAGTTAGAACCACAAGAGCCCAAATAAACCTCTTCTTGTTAGTTGACTGTCTCAACTATTTTGTTGCAGTTACAGAAAATCATCTGATACACTGTGAAATTCTACTATTCAACTATTGCAACCAAGTCTACTGTTAATAATATGTACATTCAGTTCAGAATTTAAATAGATAATAATAACGATATTTTATGCTAAATTTAATCCAGGAGATTCATCAGAAAATTGTAATCAGTTATTTTAAAAAACACCTTCTACTAAGTTATATTTTTAAAAAAAAATATTCTTTTACTTTTGGGTGTCTTTTTTTGTGTGTGTGTGCCAGGAATCAAATTTGGGACCTTCCACTTGCCAGGTAGGCAGTTGTGCCGCTGAGCTATATTCCCAGACATTCCTTCTAGTTTTAATGATCATAAATGAGTGAATATCACCCTATTTTTAGGCACTTACACTCAGAAGAAAATCGCATAAGTTATACTTTTATAAATGCTAAATGCAATGAATCTTCATAAAATAACTAAACCAAAAAGAAATTTCCAGTACTTACTTCTTTACTGAGATCTTACAACCTGCATTCTTAGAGAACATAAACACCTTACTAATTAAGAATCTTACTAATTAAACATCTAATTAAAAATATTTTGAAATCCTTTTTCAGTATAATATTCTGCACTTATATTACTATCTGGTATCTTGGCAAGTTTGGTATGTTTTTCTGTTACTTATGACATTTAAAATTGTTTTTAATTGAAGTTTGTAGTAACTTTATGTGTGTATTTTAACAAATGCAAAATAAAACTAATGAAATATAAAATGCATTAAAAATCACCAGAGAAAATTTAATTGAGATACACTAAAAATAACATTCCCCAAACTTAGGATTTCAGGTTACTTGCAATTGTCCATTAAGCCTACAGACTTTCTCCAGAGCAACCGTCATTCACTGGAGAAATAAACCACTATTCTTTTTTATATCGGTAGAGCAAAGGAAAAGCTTATAAAGAAAAAAAAACAGAAGAAATACAAAATATAATCTTGGTTTTACTAATTTTGTTACAATTCCTAAAGCATAAGCTATTTGTAAAAAAAATTATTTACATAAACATTTTTATAATGCAATTTTGTGGTGACCATAATTTTCAGTTTGATGAGGTCACACAAAGGTGACTCTCAGTGTTAGTCAGCTGACATATTCCACACCAAACCAGACCTCCTTCTATTACTTCTGACTTTGGAAGAGTGGGAAAATAAAATAAAATAAAATAAAATGTGTATTTAGCTAAGGAGTAGAAGGAAACTCATGAGGTTACTTAGCAAAAGCAAGAAGGACAAAGAAAGCTGACCTTCTTTATATGCCATTCCAGTGCACCCTACTTGAGAAATATAACAAATATTATAACCAACAAACATTAAAATTTTTATTTGTAATAACTATGAGTAAAAGAAATGGTCCCTTCATTTGACAAAATCATTAGATAGTACCAAGTACAAAAAAAAAGATTGAACATAGGATAGACAACTTCCCTAGAAATAGAAAGCAGTGTAAGGAAATACAGTGAACGGCAGAATTCCAGTGAATTTATCTACCTGAAGCACAGATGCAAAGCAGTAAATGACTAAACTTCGTCTTATTAAATAAATACCCTGGTCTTTGTAATACAGGGTTAGAGTTGACACAGCTCCTGGATCAAGGAGCCTGAATGCATATCTGGGCTTCTAGATAGGTCTGTCACTTAATCTACTTAACCAACTATCTTATGCTTGTGGTTGTTCTCAAGAATTAAAATGCTCTAGAGGAGAACAATCAAAACTTCTGGTTTTATGACTCTCTTGACCTGATCCTCAGCCAGCTCCTAGTACCACTGTGTACACAGTATACATTCTTAAGGTCAGTTTGTAACCAGTGAGAAACCACAAGAAAAAATGGGCTCAACTGCACCCAGAGTTCTTTAAACCAAGCCTCTCAATCTTAAGAACAATGCTATGTCGAGAGTATAAAACATTGTTTTGGGAAAACAACAGTATATGAAAACCAAAGTATGTCATGTCATTTTTTTTCTTCTGCTAGTGAATTATGGCCCTTCATCTATAAACATGAACATGGAAACAAACTCCTGAAGAAGAGAATATTCTAAGAAAGATGGAGATAATGCAATTTTAAAATATATCTATAAATAATTGCTAAACATGGGCTAGAATTTACAGACCACATCTGTGTAGTCCATTCCCTGGTCCTTTGAAAGCTGAGCCAATGTGATAAATAAGTGAGTATTTCACTCTCAGTGGAAGGCAGGAATAAATAACAACATCTGTTTAGCAGAATGGAGCAACATTACTCAAACTGGCATTGAGCGGGTGACTGTGGGCCATGCTGACACCTTGTCCAGAGCCAAAGTACTCCAGCCTGCTATGGAGTTACTAGCGGAGTAAGACTGAGTCCATGGGAGTTAAATTCATCAGATATCCTGTAGCTGACATACACTCAAATGATACAAACAACTCTCATTCATTAAGGTATCAATGAATTTCCCCTTGGAAGAGAGCTTGTTAGATCAAGTGCAAACACTGAGTGGTTGTTTTCCAGAAACTAACCTGACCTAAAAATCTACCACACACAATAAAAGCCATGACTGAAGTCTCGTAAGTCTGATACATGTGCCACAGAGTCACCCAGTAGAAAGACCTCTGATATACTTGTCATTATTTCAATAAAGAATGTTACTAAGTCATAAAAATATTATACGAGCTCACGGGAAACTGCAATAGCTTTTAAAGTATCTTTTAGAGCCCACGATGATAACGTAAGATACATCATTCTAAGAAGCATGCTGAGTCATGAACTCTACTTTACATAAAATGTAAAATTTTTTTTTTTTTTTTGTCTTTTTCCTTTTTATCGGTACTGGGAATCGAACTCACGACTGCCTGCTTGCAAGGCAGGCGCTTATGCTGCTGAGCTAAATCCCCAGCCCCTATAAAATGTAAAATTTTTCATCACTGGGAACAAGTGCCACAGAAATGTCCCCAAATAACACTCAGGGACCCAGATACCCTTCAGACTCACAATGGGGACAGGAAAGCCAGGCATGCTAAATGTGCAAAGCTACAAGGAACTCTAATTTCGGTTAAAATACTCTCCTTGCTTCTTCTCATTGTTTTAACTTGCTTATTTGTTTGTTTTGTGATAGAAACATTTTTAAGAATTCATACCAAGACTCTATAAGCATTTGGATTGTAAAAAATTAAAGCTTACTCATCATTTGATTATATTTCCATGATTTTAGGATACTAATCTAGACTTCAGGAAGACTAAATAAGTAAAAAATAAAAGAGAAAATAACCATGAGCTCTAGTCAGAAATCTAATGCTTTTCCCATAAGGCAGTCTGAGAAATTATGAAGTCCAATCAAAAGAAGTAAAATTGAGCTCCCCTTGTAGGCGGCAGAAACAAAGGTTTCTGAACATCCAAGCAACCTCAGTCTCCCTGACTAGCCACTGCCAGTTTCCACTTATTGTTTCTTCAGACAAACATCTGCAAAAGTTCTTTTACTAAAAGTACAGATATTGACTAAAGTTTAGGGCCATGTAGGATAGCTACATATATTCACATAAGACAAGATAATAAAATGGTTACATTTCTTATTACATTCAAAATAAATTTTAGCTAGGATAAGATGAATATTTACACTAGGAGAATTAAAGAGACTAATGAATTTGAACGGATGCAAGATTAGCTTTAGAACTCCCCGAGTTCTTTTGCCTTTTCTGTCTTCAGAGAGAGCTATTACCCAGTTTCCTCAAGATAGTTGAAAGATTAGAGGCCGCTGGTAACAATGAAAAAGCAGAATATAATCTCAGTCTTCTGATTCGAAAGGCCTTTTCTTTTTTAAGTTTTCTATAATAAATGTGATCAGATGTATTATGGATTTGTGGTGGAGAATTCGTTAAGAGTTTTAGATGGTTTTGTCTCCTAAATAGCCCACATATAAGACTATAGCTTGCAGCTATGTATAATTTAGCAAAACTGTGATACAAATCAAATAAAAATTATGTAGGCATATTAGTTTATTGTGGACTGTTATCTCCAGAATTATGTTTTATTTGTTTTAAATGAAGGTCAATTCAAAATATGGACAAGTTACATAAAAAAATCAAATAATAAATTTTGAGTGTCTCAAAACCAACACAGGCTATGGCAAAGGACATAGATCCTTGGTCTTAGTTATTATGTGTTTTACTCCTGTTCTAATAGGAAGACTCTTTTCCATGCAAATTTTGGTTAAAGTTTTTTACTTTAGAGATATCATGGAATCATTTTATAATTAAACATACACACACACACACAAACACACTAAAGTCAAGGTTAACATATTTAAGTTATTGTTGAAGCAAATTACCATAAACTTAGAGGATTAAAACAACACAGATTTATTATCCTATGACCTCAGCAGTCTAAAGTGGGTAGATAAGGCCAAGGTTTTTCTACAGATTCTAGATAAGAATAAACGCCCTTAAGTTTTTCCAACCTGTATGGTGTACTCACACTCCCTAGCTCAGGTCTCTTTCCTCCAACTTCCAAGTCAGTAACACAGCATCTTTTCTCTTCTCTACCCTCCTGCTTGCTTTCTATGAGGACCTTGTGACCAACGACCCTTGTGATCATCCAGCTAATCTTCTAATTTTAAGATGCATGACTTTACCACAATTGCAAAATTATTTTTGTCATGGATGATAATATATTCACCACTTCTGGTATTTAGAACAAGACATGTTTGGGGAGCTGTCGTCTGCCTTTCACAGAGCATCAAGGCTAAAGGTTTTCATCCTCTTCAGTACATGCAAATTTTAGATGAAATGAGCACAAATACTTCGGAATCCATGCTTCCAATTCTTTTTCCCAACTTTCTTAGCTTCAGGAAAAAAATTACAACCCACAAGCCTATAGAAACTTTTTGAAATAAAACTTTATTGGAACACAACAAAATTCATTCATTCAGGTACTGTTTCGGCCTACAAAACTAAAATGCCAGCTTCAAATTGTTAAAATGCAGACTTCATAGTTCAAGATGTCTATATTTACTACGTGGTTCCTCAGAGAAAAGATTTTCTGAATAGTAATCACTAGCTACCTTTTCAATTGTTAGAATTGAATTTCATTTGCAAAATTTCTAATTTAATTTGAATAATTCAGCAATATGGTGATTTTCATTAATTATAATTATGATTGCTATTTGTATATAATATGAATGACCAAGTCTAATTTCCCTTTATGACCTTCCTCAACTGCTTTAGTAATTTGTTTTAACAATAAAACACACAGAGGAAATTTGAAGGACCTTCAATTCTATGATTTTAGAGAGTCAAAATTAGTACCCCGTGCAGCAACTAAAATTTAACATATGCATAAAAGAGAATAATGGTACTATAACATCCAAAGACTGAAATGTATCCATGTCTAAAAAAAGACTTCTGATAGCTCTATCATCACACTGTTGTCTGATAATAAACACTAAATATGAACAACCACACTGTGAACTGAAAATACCCATATTTTATGTACAAGATTGCTTGCTCTTCTTTCAAAGAAGGCAGTAAATTTTATTGTAAATTCTGACATCCACAAGTACAGATCTAAATAAGCTCTAGATTATAGTTATAAATAAACCAAATCAAGATAAAAGTCATCTCAGACATATATAGCCAAACAAACTACTGCATACATGTCACTCAACATGACTTTATGTTAAAATTTAAAAAAATGGATAAGAAATCAAAGCTCTCAAAACTGGCAAACTAGATTAGTTTTATTCAAAGGCTTCTAAAATTATCAGGAAGTCCTTGTTTTTCCAACTGCCTGAGTGAGCTGCATTGCTGATGCGAATGTAGTTTGGAGAAGGTTCTTCTCAATCAGGACCTTGGACAGGACTAGGAAGCCATGGCCTGCTATGAGCAGTCATCTCAGCATCTACATCCTTCCCAAAGTGACTGAAATACACCACTGTGTGACTGCAGAGTCACTTATAATGCAACAAGTGGAACAACTTTGTACCAGAAATGCAAATGCCATCAGTTATGTCTCATTTCACTATAATACAATATTTGAATAAACCATTTCATTGAATGGAATGAGATAACAGGGAAATTTAAAATTAACCTACTGTCTAGAGTGACAGCAAACTGCCTTAGTTTGGAAATTTCTTTCCTGAAATATTTTTGCACTTTACTACCAACCCTGTTAGACTCTTTCATGCCTAGCATCCCCCCTTGTTCTAAATGTAGCATATTTCAAGAAATTGTTTAAATTTCTATATTCTTATAACTGTATTATCTTAAAATATATGACTTACACTATGATCTAAAGTAAAACATAATATTTACTACCGATGAATATACTATAATGGAAGACTCAAAACACAAAAATTAAATCAAACTATACATTCCTCTTTGTATTAGACAGATTAATATGTAGGAGAAGTATAAAAACATTAGTATACAACTGCAGAGGGTAATGCATTATACAAAAATGATATTCTATAAACCACAAGTGAAGTTGATTATAAAACCATACACATTGTCTGTATGAGGCATAGAGATTTGAGGTATCCAGTAGAATATAATATGTTGCATGTAAGTGAATTATTTTATTTTTTTATATTTTATGCATTTTTTTTTTTTTTTTTTGGTATTGGGGATCGAACTCACAACCATGTACTTGCAGAGCAGGTACTCATGCCAATGAGCTAAATCCCCAGCCCCTTTAAGTGATTATTATCCTGTTGTTTCCTCGCTGAATTTCTGACTTTCTGTCTCCTCTTCCATTGAGAAACATCAATACCCCTTTGGAAACTTCACTGCCAGCAACAACTTTAACAACACATTTTGGCAGCACCTTTTAAAGCATCCAACAAAGGAACCCAGGAGAAAAACGTGGCTGTCATCTTTATCTAGGAAATCAAGGATTTGTTTAGTATAAGTAGAAAGTATGGCAAGAATAATCTTTTCCAGATGCCTATTGATTTAATTCGGTTCCATAAATAGACTTTTTCCTTTTATGTGCTTTTTTGAAACACAGTAGTCAGCTCAATAGGAAGAAGGATGGGTTCACTTACTAATTTAATCCGGTGGCCGGGAGTGGCACTGATCTCCCACGTACACTCTTTCCTGCTTGGGTATTTGTCTGGCCAGTTGGGACTGGTGATGTGACCGCTGGGGCTGTGGATCTTCTGCTCACATTCAGCTGTGACAAGAAAGATATCTGTCAGTGCGGGGATCTAGCCCACAACTGGGCCAGAAAATGAGCAGCCTATCTGCCCACTGCCCTGTTGAGAGATGCTCCGAAATACTAGCTAATCACCACTCCCCATCTCTGCTATCATAGTAGTGTGCATTGAGGATTATGTTGCTGAGCATAATCAGGCAATGTTTGTCATCTGACTCACTGGAAATTAGATGTTTACTGCAAATCAAATAAGAGCCTAAATAGAAAATGAACTATTTTAAACTGTTGGATCCATAAGCTCAAAATGTAACACAGCAACATATTTTGACAATCAAGAATGTCAGGACTGGGTATGTGAAAAATATGAAATGCATTGCCAGCCACAGAAACTAATTGACTGTGCAATTTTAATTATTTTCTTTTCCTATTAATGGAAACAGAATTTGCTGCTAATAACAGCATTAAAGCATTTTATAAATCATGCATTTTCATTTGCTTTCTGTCTTACGCACATACTTGAACATCTAAACTATAAGGTTACCTGCTAAAGTAAATTAACCTCATTTTCATTAAATATAACCATCAACCTCATCTAGGAAATCAAGGATTTGTTTAGTGTAAGTAGAAAAACATATGAAGAAAATCTTTTAACCAAGTAATAAGGGGAAAATTAGGTGAACAGAATTAGCCTTGGAGATGACATCCAAATTAACTTCCAAGAATATCTAATTCAGTTAGCATGAAATTTCTTCTATGTTTTTCACAACTAATGTCCCTTTAGCTGAGACAGGTAAATATCCAATTTCAAAAATATTTGTGATCAGCAGGTCATCTTCACTCTAACTTATGAAGCTATACACTATAAGTTTTGGTTCAGATTGAAATTATTTGTAATGTCTGGTGTATTCCATTATAAAATACAAGTTGTTTTCTTAAGTTTTCCCAAAAAAATCTACTTGACAATATTCTTTACTCTCTACCTGTTACAATCTACCTGGACAATCTACCTGTCACACTGCAGGGTTACACATCAAAGCTCTGTCCCCAACAATAATTAATGTAAATTCTGTTTCAGCTGCTGCCACAGTTTTACTCCTTATTACAAACCTTCACCTTACTCACAGCAGGTTTTCATAGAAAGATTTAGGTTTACAGAAGAGGAATAAAAAATAAAGAGAAGATGAAATGCGGTTCCGGTCCAACAAATTAAAGTTAGCAAGACAATAGCTTGCAGGGCCCACAGCTGCGATGTCGTGAAGGAGGAGAGCCGTTGCCTAAGTGTGAGGCCCTGGGTCTGAGCTCCAGCACTGAAAAGAAAAATCTGGACCCATTTTTGACAAAAGTTTCCTAAATTTCATCATCTCTATTTTTGCCTGGCCAAATAAAATGTGAGGTTCACAGGACCTACAGTCACTGCAACAAAACGGGGAGGCTCGGTGCTGAAATATACAAGGCACATATACTACAGCAGATGTAAAGGGAAATTCAATTTCTTTGCTGATAATGAAAGTGAACTTCATTTATGACTATCTGGACATCATTATATTTTATAGGAAGTATTTTTCAGATAACTTGAATAATATTATTTATTCTAACAAGCATGGACATATTTGTTACTTGTGAGTCATAAGTTACATACATAATTTGCAAGAGCTGTTGTGTTTTTTCTCTAATTTACTTTCCACATCTGCAAAAACAACTGGAAGTATTTCTAAGACTATTGATTTAATAGCATACTCTACCCAGTTATAAACATCATGCTCTTACATAAAAGTAGAGAGTAATTCCTTCTTCCATATGATTCTGTACAATGCCAGTCTGTCAAAGGAAAACAGAGAACTATCCCTCATATGTGTTATTACTGGAGTGAAATTTAACAAAATAATATAATTCAGGATATTCTTTACTATTTTAAGGTATACACAAAAGTATCTAATTGAAGTTTCAGTCAGGCTTTTCTAGTCTACATATGCTGATGACTAAAGTTATAAAATCTTCATTAATGGTTCTCTTTTCAGAACAAGCACAAATTCATTGTCAGTAGAAATTTCCAGAGCAGACCCTCCTAGGAGGCAATAAAAATTAATAATTATTCTTTTTCCCTTCTAACTCAACCTAATAGAAAGAATTAAAGTCATTGTTTCAAAAATCAGATAATGGGATCTTGTAAAGCCCTGGGAATAAAATCTACTTGGCTATTACTGTACTCCTAGTTTGGTATTTTGGTCAAAACCCCAACTTGAAATTTTAAATGGCATGCCACTTTCAAGTGTCTTTCCTTTGGTAGGCATTTAGGTTTGATAGTTCTGTGTTTATAGATACATCATTCATGCAGTACATATATGAGATATTTCATAGCAGGATATTATACCAAGTTTAAAACATTCCGCATAAGTTTATAGATGAATAGTATATCAAGTTGGTTCTACAAAGTCCTGGAGACCTTGTCACAATTAATTTTTGGCTACAAGATAGCAGTACCAGAGTTTCCATGTCTGTCATATAAAGTGGCTAATGTCATTCACGTGTGAGGTGTGAAACTTTATGGGTAATATAATGAGGTTCCCAATAATATGGGTTAGAACTCTGAAAATTGCACCGAATTTTTATTTTTGGTTTTTATTTTGACCTTTGAATACTCAGCAGTAACATCACTCAGTGATATGATTAAGTCTACTTCGAAGTAATGCTTTGTGAAAACCACATGAAATAAAAACTTTTGTCAGAAACGAGAGCATTCTTTTCCATACCTTCCTTGCAATCATGTTTGTTTTCATGCAGGACAAACCCGTTACGGCACTGACATGTGTAGCTTCCCATAGTGTTGACACATTCGTGCTGACACCCACCATTATCCTTAGAACATTCGTCTTTATCTGGCAAAGAAATAAAGCCTATTGTTTAGTAAGTCATTTTAAGAACAGAGAATAGCAAAGAGAGCATTTTAGTTGTGGGGAACATTAGCAACATTAGCAACTTAGTAAACTAAGTGACAACTATCTCTGTTCGCAACATAAACATTAAAAATTTACCGTGTCTTAGTTTTACCCCTTCTTTGTTTAGCTTGGAGCTCTGTACCATGGGTTGAGAATCTGGGTCAATCTATGACAGGTAACAAATGCAATTCTTCCACTTCTGTACGGAGTGAAAGTTTTCAGTAGGAAAAGAGGAGCCAAGAGATATTTTCTTTCCAATTCTAAAATTTACTATTTTTTAGAACTAAGTTTCTAGTTGTGAGTGACTTAAAGTCAAAGAATACCATTTACATAGAACAGAATCCCCCAATCTAGTAACCATGGTATATAGACAGAAGCTAAACAAGTTCACAAGATTTCTATGTAATCATTTAAAAAAAAAATCACTCAGTATAACTAATATAGTTGATTTTTTTCATTAACTCAGCAGATATGCTTAACATTAATGAATCTAGACATTTCAAAACATTCCAAGACAAAAAAAGCATCATTTGACCATCCTAAAGATGAAACTTAATTAAGTATATTAAGCAAATCTACTCTGACAGACCAGTTAATTGTTTATTAATGTCATCCCTTAAAAGGGCGTATAGTGTGCTAGAAAGAAAATAAAGGTTAGAATAAGAATATAAGCTTTAAGAAACAGCCACCAAAGTCATGACAGGGAAAAAAGCCAAACTGTATTAACAGGCAGTCAATCCGGGGGAGGCATCAGCTCCCAAACTATGTCACTCAGCCGTTATCCCATGTCTGCTGTGGCCACTTAAATCAAGCTGGCAGATTGCTCCCGACACACACACGATGGCATCTCACTCACCACTCCCACACAAGGGGGAAAAGGACACAGTGCAGCCTTGTCAGAGGCCGGACTGAAGTCACATTTCACTGACAGTTGATTTTTCTAGTGAGAACTACTGAGTTCATAGTGATACACAAATTGTACTATTCTTGGTTTTTAAATCAAGTCAATATTCTTCCCGTGAAGATAAGTTGAGGGAAAATATTTGCATTAGCTAATTATGCAGCAGTTTTTAAAGACGCATTCCATGTTTCCACCCTTAAAGGTTGATTACATGGTGGCATCACACAGGTTTAAAGGGCACAGCCACGCATTGACAGTTATCAGAACACTGCAGTCACATACAGACACACTTGCACTTTTCAAAGAACATAAGAATCAGTGCATTCTCTGTCTATCCTTAACACTTAAATTATTCTTTTAATACTCACTGTGAAAAGACTAAGAATAAAAATTATTTTTTAAAAATCAACAAACAAAAAATGGATGAGAAATTTGAAGTCAGTAGAGAATTATCTTTGTAAAATTAATTTTACAGCAATTCATCATAACTTTGTGCCTCTAGTCCTTTAATTGTATCAACCAACAGTGAAGATTTTAGCTTATGAGATATGAATTTTGGATGATAAATCACATTTCCACCATAGTATCATCTGCCTATACTTTCTGACTCAGATATTTTAAGCAGGAAACTATTCATTCATTGTTTTACAATAAAAAGCTTTTAAGAAATTTAAATCTATAGTCCTCTTATAATGAAAATAATTCTGACACACAACCTATTTCTAGCATCTAAATTACATTCTTATGGAAATATCATTCCATTAGTTCATACTCCTATGTAGAATTGTTTCAAAATTTGATAGAATTTAAGCTGACCCATGATGATGGTAACAAAGGGAATTAAAATACAAAGTAAACCAAATGATATTTCAATAACTTTGTGACAAGTTACTATTTTTCTATTCTGTTGGGAAAATATGTGGACAAAATGAAAAGAATAAAGCAGAGCAAATAGAAGAGTAACAGGATGACTCATCATTCTAATTTATATAGATATTAAGTATCTGTTATTTTACACTTTCTCGGTCTGTTTGTGTTTCCTCCTTCATTCCCACATCTGCTTTCTAATTTAGTCAAGGACACATGAACCTTGTGAGCCATCAATCATGCTACTAGAATACATTTATGAGTTAATATAAATTTTAGCAAAATGTCAAAGTTAAACTAGTCACAACAGTAACTAAAAGCAGCAGAAGAAAGTTATCATGTCCAGAAAAATAGCCTGTAAAAATATGTTGTATGTCAGTCACATGAACACAGAAACTTTCATGAAGCCACTGGAATACTTAAAACTGTCCAGGTAATTTACATTATGCAGACAAAAAGGTCAAAGTATCTCTGAGGAAGAGGGGACACAATTTAGCTGTTTAAATAACTTACTTGACTATCAGTTAATTCATATTCTAATTAAAGTAAATATAATTTTACATTTTCTAAACTGATGAGGGGAATAGCATAAATGTAGAACATCACAGATGTGATTTAGATTTCTTATTTACAAAAGGCTATCAAATAAGGGGCAAAAGTTATTGGCAAGCATGAATGAATGATATGTTCACATCCCCTTTCTATTCTTTCGTCATTTGCCTTTCTTCTCTGCTTGGAACTCTCCAGGTATTTAACCCAGCAAAGGAGAAAAGGGAGAGGGATTCAGAGTTTTAAACAACTCTCATAATGTCCAAATCATAAATTTAATAACTTAATAATAACTTTAATAGTTCAATCAATACTTCACGTGAAATTTTCTGGCATTTTCATGCAATAGACACACAATAAAAATAGTTTTATTAGTTATAAAAACAAATGTTTTGCCGCAGAGAAATAAAAATTTATTTTCTGCAGATGGAAATCAGCCCCTTCTTTGAGATGGACATAGCTGTTTTCCATTTCTTTACATTCGATGAAGAAGGGTCTACTATTAGGGGGAAGGGAGGTACATTTTCCCATCAGAGGCCTGCAGTATACCTCTGAGAGGACCAGGGATCAGCGGCCTGTGACTAATACATACTGGATGGAAATAAAGTGGCAACCTGTAACAAGTTCTTGCAAGATTCAAAAATAAAAATTTTCTCTTTGCAGAAGGCTTCCTTATCTGTAGGAAAAAATAAATGGCCCATGCAAGAGAACATGGTCATACATGAAGAAATAGTTTCACACTAAATGATCAAGATCTTAAATAAATGGATACACATACACACTCACACACACACACACACACACACACACACACACACACACACCTGTGCATATACACACACCAGCACAAACTAAATAAAATGATCATGAAATCATATTCAGAAAAGTACAAATAAAGTCACTGACAGCTACAATTCTCTTGTTCCACAAATATGCAAATATTTAAGTGTGGTTAATATGGAAAATCTGAAACAGGACTTAAAATTGTGTAGGAATATTGCAGTTATGTTACTGTATGAAATCATTCACACTAATATTTATATCTTTGTTATAGTGATATTAAGTTGAATGTCATCTACAAATACCCGCAACTATTCCATTAAGGACACTGTGTGAAAATATTTATAAAGAAGTATCCATACACAGTGAGACAGATAAGGAGCATGTAGGTTCAAAGTCACTTGAATTTATAGTTGGAAAGATCGCAATACATAAATTATTTTATCTGAGTCCTGAGTTTATTGCAGACAGAAAAGAACTGGGGTCAGAAAAGAGGTGTCATTCCATTTTTGCCATTGAGAAGGCCATTAGGACTATCAAAACCAGATCACATTCTCACTAAATTCATCCCTGAGGGAGACTGCTATTAAGTGAGGTTTATTTTTCAAGTTTAGTGTTCGTACTCTCACAGAAGCCTTTAATGTAAGGTTGCCAAAGATGGCAGTATGTCTGTGCTCAGTTTCCATTGTCTAAAGTCACTGATTATATTGCCAAAGGCAGAATGTTACAGTTGAATTTTTAAAAGCATGTCACGTTACCCAAAGTTTGTTGTCCTACTAGAATAAAATGTCATTAATGCTTAACTTTAACTCATTTAAAGGAACATCACTTTGTTCTGAGCAGAACACAGTTAATTTTGCTTCACACTGAGGTAAATCACATCACAGATGCTTATGAAGATGTGCATGTTTGTGTTCAAGCTTGGTATTAGATAAAACTAAATTTAGCTTTACCACTACATAAAAAAAAACATTATTGTTAGTTTAATGAAACCTAGCCAGAGATTACTGGTTTAAGTATCTTTTAGAAAACTTCTGTATCACTATATTCAGAATTAAATAAAACATGAACAATCACATAATTATGCATAAAATCCAAGTAGCCTTTACCTCGATATTCTTAATTTCCTTATTTACCTTAATAATAATCAATTAAATCTATTGGTTTGAAATTCCTGGAGCCAGTAAATACATTATTTTTTCAGATGGGCTTATAGATTATTCTACCATAAAACCTATTAAGTTCCTAATTTTCAAGCTGTAGTATTTTTCCATGACCAATTTGTGATACTTAATTGATTTGCTATGTAAGCATTTCTTAATTTTATGCACACATAAGTGACAGAAATCACTGTTAATTATTCTGGAAATACCTTTTTAGAAGTATCATTTTGATTTCATTGCTTACACTTAAAAATATTTATTTGAAAACCTGAGGCTATACACAAAAGTAACTAAAATATATGATTTTATCAGATGAAGATATGTTAGAAATATCACTATACATACATTAATTAAATGCATGCATTATTACTATTTAAATATGCTGCTTTGTTTTCTTCTTTGTCTATTACTTGACAGCAAGAAAGCTACAATTTATTTTTAAATAGCTTTCCTTCTCAACATGCAATCGGTTCTCATCAAGAAATTAAAAGTATATCTGTCATTTTTGAAATCATAAGGATGCTGAGTGTAAACCATTAATAATGTCACTGCAACAATTCTAAGAGAATGATCTGTGGGCCAAGGCAAACCAAGGTCTTGATGACTTGTGACAGTAAGTGGTGTATTTAAGCCATCTGCCTCATCATATATATATATAGATATATGAATAAACCTAACATTGTAATATGAATACCCAGGGTCTAATATCCCCTTGAATTTTACTAATCAGTCTATTTAACTACTGTACTCTATCAAATATCTAAGCTAGACTCTTTCAAAACGAAGTATTTTCATGAAATATATCTATATCATCTATATCCAGAGAGGACATATATAACTACTAAGCACTGAGATGATTTCTTAAAATGATTATATCAATAAATACAATTTATAGAAAATTAGTGGTTATTGGCTAATTAGCTGCGCACTGCTAAAGCACTCAGCTGATTTGAGAAATCACGGCTATGAAAAGAAAAGAAATAAAGACTACTCTTGTGTGCTGGAGCATGGTATCTTCTGCATATATCCCCTTTTCTGAGTTATAAGAATTAAATAAATGTTTTATGCGTCAGTTGTTCTAAGACACATATATAAACTGTTGTTACAACTTAGAAAGTTTTGCCTGATTAGAATTAACAGAAAGTGAATTTTAAATTTTGAGTGTCTTCAAAGTTAATCATGCTTTGGAGTCAGTGCATGCACTGTGTATTTTTAAAAAATTATTTCAAAATAAAATGTATGGAAAATACAAAAAAGACTGAATACAATGAACAGAGTAAAGAATTCATTTACTTGATAATTTCAGTTTTAAAAATACATGTTTAAATGGTTTCCAGGCAAGCAGTTTTGTCTCTACTTATATTGGAGCAATTAAAACTTGCAAAACACATGATATTTATAAAATAGTGAAATCTAGGAAAGTCTTCCTTTTATTAAACCTGGAAGAAAGCAAAGGAACAAAAACATTGAAGCTGAGATTCACTGCATTTCGAATACAGCTCTGTGTATTACCTGGAACTCAATGGCTTCTAAACTATTAACTTCAGTTATACTGAAAACCCCAAGCAAAACTTGGATACGATAAATCTCATTAATTCTAAACACTCTCTAAGGGAGACTTAAATAAACAGACTTTGAATTAACTCAATCCAAATTGCCTAATATTTAAATGTTACTGAAATTCGCTTGTTAGCTATACAGCACAGTAGAGAGCTATGCCATTTATTACAATCTTATCTATATTTAAAATTAAAGGATAATGGTTTTAGAAACAGTGATTTTGAGAAGGAGAAAATGAGGAAATTTTGCTTATGTTTCTGTATGTTTTTATAAAATTAGGGGAGCTTTCATCAAATTTCAGCTTTTTAAGTGAAAAATTTATTTTGAATTGATTATTTTTCACACCCAATTGTGAGCCATTAACTATATCAGATATAAAATTATTTTAGTAAAGATGTAACTTTCGTATTTCCAAATATTTTACTGGTATCATTTTTATACTTACAAGGCAAAGCATACTGTTGATATTGGCATAATAAAAATAAAACGTGAAGGAATGTGGTATTGAACAATAAGATGTGTTATTAAAATGAGACCACATTTTTCCTAAAGCAAGAAATTTTTGTTTCAAAATCTGTCACTTCTGAGAATAACTCCTCAAATCTGGGCAATGAGCACTCATGGTATGAAAAAATTATTATGTTATTTTTATGTATTATTGCTCTAGTCTTTATAATGTTAGATTTTTTGTAAGACCCAATTACCTTAGGACGACATTTCAATATGACCCCTATTACTTTAAGTAAAAAAAAAAAAAAAAAAACCCTGGTACACCTAGGAAAAATGATCATGCATTTCCTGGACCTTCACAGTACATTTCCAGGAAACTATGAAGAAAGATAACATAGACTTTAAGCCAATCCATGTTGAAAACTTACAGCACACACGTAAACATGGGAATATTTATACCTGAGAAGAAATGTGCTTTGAAGCCCTTCTTTGACACAGTGTTGTCCGATCTGAATTCAATTCTCATGTTATTGAACTGCGAGGTGATCACTTCAGGCACTTCAGCACCACAGAATTTGCCATGCAATTTGGACTCAGAGGAAAGACCACTCCAAATCTCCACATAATCGTATTTGCAAACCTAAAGAAAAACAGATTATCAGTGTCTCCAGATTGGAGAGTACCAGGCGACTGCCATTCATTTTTGAAATTTTTTTCATGTTTTCACCTCTTTACTACAATAGTAGTCAAACTGGAATTAGTAAGTGGGAAAAAAAAGAAAGAAAATGGTTGTGCAATGATGTAAATAGCATGAAAACTAGATTTTTTTCTTGTGGTTGCCCCCTAGACTTGAGTACACAAATGCATGCTTGTTTGTATAAATTCATAGCATGTATCTCTTCCAGAAAATAATGATAAGGATAATTGTGATGGATATTGATGACGACGACAGTGCTGATGCACAGAAACACAGAAGTGGTTACACTTTTAAAAATATTTTTAATATTTTAAATTTCAGAAGACACTGCAGAAGTATTCATAATATACTGTTTAATTTAACACAAACAAGAACTGCCTGAAATCAATATAGTCTATGATACAAGTACTAGCTATAACAGTAATCATTTCCATCATGTAGATGACAAAATCAAGGTTCAGAAATTTTTATATAATAATATCCTGCAGGGAAGTGTAATGACTAACTGAATAGAGTTTGTCTTAATCCATTGCTATTTTCGGAAACACAAACATGGCATTTTTATCAGAATACAATTAGTAAGTTTCAAAGTAAAATATACTAAGTATGTGATACTTGGTATATGAACAAAATTTATTAAACTGCTAGGAAATGCTTTGAGTTGTTAGATTGAAGTTACTCTGTAGGACTACTGCAGATAACAAGCGCTCTCTTCAGTCTAATAAAGGCAGGGGTTTATAATACAATGAGGCAGACTCATCCAATTTATAGGTACTGCACTAACAGCATCAAAATGGAAGAAGTTAAGTGAATATTAAATATTCTCAAGCAATTCTGTGGCCACTAACAGATGCTTCCACAATACACATTTCCCACGTTCCAAAAGAGCATATTTTAAAGAACACATCTTGCATGGATGACCTTATTATGTAAATGTGTAATTATCAAGGCTTTAACAATGCATATGATGGAGCCCTGGGGCATGAGCTGTACTTTGAAATATGTCAACTCAAATTACTGTTTCTTGTGACATTAATTAGATGTTAAATAAGCAAAATGCGGCTAGGAAAAATGAAATGATTTCACTCACTTTGGTGCAAGTATGATTTTTGTTCAGCAAAGGACTCTAACATAATATGGAAATGTTTCCAAAGTTAATGTTCTTTTCTCCTGATTTTCCCTTTGGGATATCAATAAGGGAATAAATTAATGAAGACTTAAATTTAATCTAGTATTCTATAAGTCAAGTCTTTTCACAGGCCTTTATTGTAAGCAGAATAATTATCAAAATGTGAAAAGAAACAGTATTGTATAATGGCTTTTCACACACAAACACAATTATAAATTACTTTTAGATATATAAACAAAATTTACAAAAAGCCCATCCATGAGTTATGTCCACTATTGTGAGAATAATGAATTCCTCACACAGACCCCATTTACATAAAACCATCCACCAGTCTGTCTCCTGAGCACAAACCTCACTCTATAAACATGTACCAATTAATAAATAAAAATATTTCATCTGCCACAACTAACAGCTATAGAAAAAACTGTGAGAATACCAGGCATTCAACCCTCAGTTCTTAACAAGTCACAGGATGAGTACAGAGAACTCACAGAAAAGTCTGGCTCACATAAAAGCTTTACTAACATTGTTAAATTTACTCTCTTCATGCTAATATATCCCCAAATTTAAGACCTGTTTTAAAAAAATGACGCTTTCTAGGGATCAAACTGCATCTTTCCCAACATAAAGTTTATACGTGATGTTAAAAATAATCCCAAAAGGCACACTGAACTTTGAGGTTTCACAATTATCTGAAATACATATACTTATCCATTTCAGACTTTAATTTCCTCAGAGGGAAAAAAAAATCAGGTACTACTTTTACCTCTAAGCTATAATAAGAGATTTAAAAATGCACAACAGGGAGATAGATATTTTCCAAAAGGGAAAGAGGACCAAGAGATAGAGAGGAGGGACGGGGATGAAAATAATAATTAAGATCTATTATGCGTATGCATGAAATTTCCATGGCAAGTGTAATCACAGTGCATGCAAACATATGGCAATAAAAAGTGCTTTGTCTATTAAAGGCAAAATTAAGAAGGAAAATATAAGTAATCAGGAAAAAGAACTAGGTATAAAAAAGGAAGAATCTACAAATATAACACCCTGAACTTGCCCGATCTCATATAAAAAAAGAAGATGAGGTAAAGATAGTCACCCAAAAGCAAAATTGTATATAAATTTCATAAATATTTCTAGTATTTATTGTCCCAAGGCACTCACAGTTTACCTTCCTGTTTTCATGCTTTATAGGTTTCAACAGATATGCATCAAAGACAAAATAAACTTATGAGTCAATTTTATCACTTTCAGAAGTGTGAAATCGTATTACATCTAAATAAAAACAAAAAAGTTGAAAGCACATAAAAACAAAGAAAAGTATGAAAGATCAAATTTTAAACAGCTCATAATCTTTTCTCTGGAATTAAACCACTGTTGGATAATCATGCAAAGAATATTTTTCTGAAAGTTCTCACTTCTTGGCTTGGTATTTCATTTATATTTAGTGTACACATAGGAAATTTCAAGTGGTTAATTCACCTGTTTTAATGTGATCACCTTATATAAAACTATCTTTAGTACAATAAGTTATATTTGTAAAGCAAAGGTAGCTTCAACTACATGTGTATTTTACTAAGGTTAAAAAATTATTCTTTTTATGAACCATGAGCCCAGTTCATAATGAAAATGTATAAAATTAGAATACACATTAGCACTAATATATCACCTTCTTTGGTGGATATGCTGTTCGTTACTACAGAATCGGTGGTTTTTGATTTATTTTTCTAGAACACATTATGTAACATGAAAGTGACACTAAATTGCTTTTAATAAAATAGGACATTTGTTAATATATGGCACATTTGACTACACTGAATCAAAACTCCTCTGGATATTTTTCAATCTCCCAGAAACAGTTTAAATATCCAATGATAATTAAAATCATCAGTTGCAAAAATTAATGATAGATCAAAGACAAAACATTCACGTAACAATAGTACATTTTTGGCTTTTCTTTGCTTGCCTATCTGATTTCAGTGTTCCTCAAAATGTGATTTTAAAACTTTCTATATATTGTGCACTTACTTCATTCCCTTCCAGTTCAAAAAATTCAAACTTCACGGAAATTCTGTACTGTGTTGGTGCCACCACTTGCCACACACAGTTTTTATTAGGAGGGTACTCTTTAGGCCAGCCAGGGGAGGTTATGGTGCCATTCAGCTTGGTAAGAAGCCCGCCACAGGCAGCTACAAGAAAATGAAAGGGAAAGTTTTCCTTAATAATGCCATGCCATTCTGAGTACCATCACATTAATACCCAAATGTCTCGGCACTGAATGTTAACCACTTTCTGGGTTTTAAAGTATAGAAACCATAGTTTCTGTTTTTTAACTTTTAGCACAACTATGTCCATTATCAAATTCCATTTAAAACCTATTTTGTAGCTTTGGAAAAAGGCAAATTATTTTTGAACTGTAACATTTTAAATCACTTTCTAGTGGAGTGAGCAATATATTGGGTTTTAGTTTCCTGATCTTTTAAATGGGTATAATAATAACTGGTAATGCTAAGGATTTCTTGACTGCTACAGAATTAAGAAAGAAAATTTTGTGGAAATTGATGAGGCTGTTCTGGGAACCAAGGAAAAAATAGATAGATAGATAGGTAGATAGATAGATAGATAGATAGATAGATAGATAGATAGATAGATAAGATAGACAGGTCCTGAGTAACCAGATCACAGTCATTTGTCTAGTTCCTCAAAATTTTTGTCCAAGACAAGTAAAGCTTTATTACCTGAGCTGACAGACAACATAAATTGTGTTAACGATAACATATTTTTTTAAAAAAAGGCTAACATCTGGTTTTCTTTCCTTTTCATAATGAAATCAGCAAAATCACATTATCTAAAAGCAAGTTGAATGAAAAGAATGCATACTATACACAGTTCATAACTAATTCCTACTGAGAAAGTTGAGCTACCTATAACAGCTTTCTTGCCTGAATTTGTGTATAAATTTACTTTTATATATTATTGTATTATATAAATATGCAAAATATCTGTAAACTTACTTTTAACACTTTTTGACAAATTATTATGAAGGCAAATATTTATTTCTAGAAGGTATAAATTAATGTCATGTTAAATTATGATTGTTATAAAATACATTTTTTCATAATAGTATTTTTAAATTTTCTAATAGAAGGAGAATTATCGGTAGCTTCACAGCCAAGATGAAGATTTTTGAAAGGAAACTTCAAAGTTGTAAGGAGAAATAGGGAGACTTTAATTTTTAAGCAGGGCAGCAAAGTGTGACATTTTTTCATTAAGCATACACTGCTGCTACCTTTGCTCCTTCTCAGATCTTCTGTTACAGATACAGTACAGAGGAAGGTTCCCACTTCCCAGGGACTTACATTTCAGTAGGAAAAAGCTAAATAAATTAATGCATACATAAAGATAAATATGTTACTACAATTTCTATGAAAATAAATTTTCAGGAGGTTTAAACAGGAATACAGGGGAAATAGAAGGAAAGTCAATATTTTCTACCTGTACATTAAGATGTGGAGTCTCTCACAGGATAGAAAGAAGGAATAAAAAAGAGCCAGCCTTACATTCTGAAGAGATTACAGACCAGGAATAACACTCTGCAAGAAACCCCATGTTACAATATAAAGAGGAAATGTAGAGAATCCTGACAAAAATACTTTAATCAATCATTTGTTCATTTAAAACACATAGTTGGCTTTATGGTAAATGCTTTATGTTTGTGCTAGATGCTAAAGGAAGGTTCAAAGACAATGCAGACACAGGGTTTTAATTTTTTTTTTTTTTTGTCTTTTCATTTTTATCAGTACCAGGGATCGAACTCACAACTGCCTGCTTGCAAGGCAGGCACTTATGCTGCTGAGCTAAATCCCCAGCTCCAAACAGGGTTTTAATTTTAATAGGAGAGACATATTTGTGGGCTATGTTAAGTAAAAGATAAAAGAAATGATGAGTAGTTAAAGGAATGTAAGGTGGATGGATGGATGGATGGATGGATGGATGGATGGATGGACAGATGGATGGATGCACACATACGAGCATACACCATACGAGCATACACAGAAGAAGAAGGAGCACAACAAAGGAGGGAGAAATGGAAGGATGAAGAGATGGATGGGGGATGGATATACATGGATATACACGGCCTGGTAATCAAAGAGGGAAAGGGCGATAAATTGAGTCTCACTAGTTGAAGATCAAGATCAAGGTCTTTGTGGGGCAAGGAGAGAATAAAAGGCAAAATAGAATTGGGGAGAAGGTGGCCACACCAGCCCAGCCCTACCTTCGCAACCCCTTCTGTCAGGCCCCAGCTCATAACCAGGCTCACAGGCACACTGGTAGCTGCCCAGGGTATTCAGACACCGCTGCTCACAGCCCCCTCGGTCAGGTTTGGCACACTCATCTTCCTCTATAAAAATAGGAATAATTATAGCACAACTAGAGTATGATGTCTATATATTCTGGTGCACAACTTATTGAAAGTATAAGGCTTAAGAGCTTGGAATTATAAAGATATGAATCTCTTCTTCAACAAAGAAGCAGGAACAATAAGTAAACCCTTGATGAGTGATCCACAAGAATTCATGTTGCTGATACCTAAAAACTGTAGAAGAACCAAGAGAAAGACTACTCACCTAGAGCCACATGAACTGAAAACCAACCTGTCTCAGACTTAGTTTTTTCCAATTTTGAGATCAAATGAAGGTTGTTAAAACTTAGAGATTTGTCAGAATGAAATGGAAAAAATTCTTACTGTAAAAGCACAGTTTTAACTATTCTCTTTATGGTATAGTTTGCTACATGTGTATCAAAAAATTGGCTGCAGAGACTGGGAATGTAGTTCGCTGGTAGAGTACATAGTTAGAATGTATGAGGCCACGGGTTCAATCCCCAGTACTGCAAGTAAAAATGCTTTCAAAGAAAGATAACAATTAAATAGATCATGAAGATTACAAATCAAAACAAAATAAAAGTCAAGAACTGACTTGACCTCTTTAAATTTAAAGCATTTACTGTTCCTTACATAGACATTTGACTTAGGATATCTAAGAATCCAATATTTTTACAAATGTATGCACGATTTTAATTGTGAAAATATGAAAATACATATTTTTAAATGAATATGACAGAGCCACAAGCTCGGTTTTTCCAAAGTAACATAATGTGAATTAAGAGTAAATGTACTCTTGTGAAATTATGCATCAACAGAATACCAAGCATTTTTGATAACCAAATATATATAAATAGCACATGAAAATAATTTGTCAGCATGTTCCAGGTAATTTCAAATGTGTCAATAATGCATTAATGAATCCATATAATTAAAGTATCAACTCTCCTACCTTTGAATTCACATCAGTTTGTAGGGAAAGTCCATTGTATTCGTCTTAAAATAATGAAAATATTTTGCATGTCTCATTAAGTTTTTAAGGCCCTCAGACTTATCAGGCAGGTGCTTACACTGAGCTAAAGTCATGGCCCTATCATTAAAGTTTTGAGATACACAAATTTACCCTTTGTCTTACAAAAATCAGTGCAGAGGAAGTTTTGTTTTATTAACAGTGATGCACTTCACTTCAGATAAGTATGCAAATAAAATAAGTCATGTATTTCCTAAATGTATGCTTAATTTTACCAATTATGCTAAGATAGTTTTTTTAATCTTGGTAATCCACACAAAATATCAAACATGAGAATAAATTAAAACATAGGGTACTTCACAATTACATTAATTAGCAATAATTCTTTACAGAAGATACTTTGTCTAACCTAAAGAAGGCTTGTAAGTTGCTTCTAGTGTTACGGAACATTATTTTTCAAGAAGTTATTTTAAAAGCTAGCACCTGGAAATAAATTGATGAATTTCATGTCAGTAATGCCCTTCCCAGTTACAAATCCTTTGTTGGTTATATGTACTTCAAATATTTTTTCTTATTTCTAGATTTCTTTCAAAATTTTAATATTTTCATTATTTCTTAAAACACAAAGATAGAATACCTAAAGTTCTTGTACTACACTACAAAGTTATAAACGAATATTTTACTAACATATTCCATCAAAACTCATAAAAATATTTTTAGCAACTGTGTTTACTTCAACTTCTAGTACAACCTTAATCCTATTTCCCTCCCATTCATACTAAACACCACACTTATCACTGCCTGAGAAAGGAAATCTCACATTTGTAAATCACTGTGAAATACCTTTAAAAAAGTTAGCAGCAAACCCAGCTTTGTTGACAGTTCCATCAGAAACAAACTTCATCCACAAGGTATTGGAGGTGGATCTTATATCTTCAGGTTTATCGTAACCACAGAAACGCCCAATCAAGGGGCTATTTTCACTGGTCCCATCTCGAATTTCTAAGTGGTCATAAGCACAGTTGTCATGTCTTTCAATCTACAACAGTAAGATTATGGTATATTCCATTAATAGGCAAAACAATTTCAGTAGGAAGACAAAGCATTCTCAATGCTATAGTACTCTTGTTAATACAAAAAATTACTTAAATCAAATGAGTACAAAAGAACATTTCCCATGTGTATATATAGCCATACCCTATACTCAGTGGATACCTACATGCAAAAGGATTTTTGTACTTAAAAAAAAAAATACCTAAGGAATAGTGTTTCCATGAGAATTAGGACCAACATAAGTTAATCGGTTTTTAAAAGAAAAGTTAAGCTACAAATAATGACTCTTTAAGCAGAGCTGAAAAAAATAATCACAGCAGATAATCATCTTTAAAAAATATGGACCAGACATACAGTAAACAATATATAACTTACTCTGAAACTAACAAAAAATGTTCATAGTTTATCAGTGTTACAATTTTATTCAGAGAAGCTAGAATCAAATATTTGACTATTGTATCATTGTCGTAGGTTATAAACTAGTTTTGAAAAGTAAATATGATATTTCTTCCTAGTCTATAAAATTTTTGTCCACAGTTAGTACAGCTGAGTATAGTTTTGAAAAGTAAATCTGATATTTCTTCCTAGTCTATAAAATTTTTGTCCACAGTTAGTACAGCTGAGTATAGAATGACAGTCAACATTGTGGTTTTTGTCCTGTTGTCTCAAAGTATCAATGATACCTCTTGATATCAATGATACCTTTTCCTTGATATACTTCTCTCTATCCCTATAATCTGAAGGAATCCCATGTCTTTGCTTAAAGACTAAATGCAAGCCAGGTGCAGTGGTGCATGCCTATAATCCCAGCCCTAAGGATGGAGGATCACAAATAAGAATCCTGCCTGAGATATTTAGCAAGATATTGTTACAAAAAAAACTTTTTAAAAAATTAAAGAGACTTGATATGGAGCTCAGGATTAGATCATCCTTAGGTATGATGCCCTAGGCCAAAGGAAAAAAGAATTCTGCATGCAGACTTTAGACCAGATCATTGGCCGGTGAATTTATAGAGAAGAATTCATGCACTGATGTTTTGGCCCTAATTGTCTAAAAACAACAGAAAGGATGGCTATAAAAATTCCACAAGACAAATTGTGAACCAAATTCTTCCTTTTAGCTTTTTAACAGAAGTTGGACATTATCTTTGAAATCTTAATAGAGACAACTGCTTATGGAGTGTTTGAAAAATGGAAAAGGCAGACACAATTTAAAACTATAAAAATTATTACAGTTTGTCAACTATTGTTCAACACACAATTTATTAATTCATGTAATGCTCTCATTACAAAGCTGATATCGGAAAAATATATCTATATTTATGGAATTGCAACCTGCATAGATGAAATTAATGCCTATTTGAACACTCTTGTTGATTTATTGCCACATTGTGCAAGATATTCCTCAAATAAGATAGCATAAGAGCAACCTAAAAAGCAACTTTTTCTGAGGAACAGATTTAGCTGTGAAAGAATTACATCTGTGGTTTCCTTTTCACCAATCATAGAACTGAACTCATTCATTGTTTTAGCAAACATATTCACTGCTACTCTCGACTAGACACATTGCTCAGTGTTCAATACTTATCATTCAGTAAATAACACTGAGCTGCTGGAATTGGCATGCTTTTGTAAGTGAGTAGACAGGAAAAGGAGAAATAAAATAATTAGTTCAATCTTAAGTACTAGAAAACAATAAATTCCATGAAAGACATACAAAGAGACACAAGAATGAGGCATGCGATGTGTTAGTGGGAGCAAAGGCTACAGTTTTCAATGAAACCATCAGGTAGGAACTCATTAACTATAATTCATAAACTCAGATTTTTTTTCTTAGAATAGAAATCAACACTGAACTACTGACAAAAATGTAGGGAAAATAGCCAAAAGTCTTAGCAAGCCAAACAAACCTCAGCTACTTCAAGCAGCACAGAATGAACTGGCTTTGATTCGTGAATCATATTAGGGTGAGGTATAAGAAAGGGCAATCAGAATACACACTGAAGAAAAGTCCTTGTAGTGGAGACCCACTAGCAAAAATTAAATCACATTGCTTCATAGTAAAAGCCACAGTAGAATAAAAATTAATGACTTTTTTGTAATTAAAATTTACAAAGATTTTTAATTACCGTTTTAAAAAGATCAATACTTTTTTTTAAAAAAATGCAATCACAACAAGAAAGAAAACAAGATGGTCACTATTGAAAATAAAAATTAGTATCTTCAGTGATTAAAAAGAGATAATTTGATACTTCCCTGCCTATAACAGTTTGTTCTTTTAAGAAATACACAACAGGTGCTGTGGGTACTGGGTTGCCTAGAAAATGAACTGTGTCCCACACCTATGGATTTACGATGCATATGGATTTTGTAAATGCTTACAATAGTGACAGATTCAAACTAGTCCTGCATATCTGATTAATGGCCCAAAGGGTGTGTTTCTGTGGTTTCCCATGAAATCCTGTGTTTAGTGCTTATGCAACTAATCTACACCACTGTGTTAGTTGTGGTTACACTTCATCAACCATGTCTTCTTGGAACAGTGACAGTGAGAATGAATGAAAATGTGTTATTTGATTTATGTCATTTCTGCAAGATTTTTTAGAGTAATAGCAGATAATTTCATCCACTGATATATGAAATACACAGAAATAAATATGCTACAAGCTAAAAAGTGAATCAAGTCTGTTGATGTTATGCCAATAACCTTACATTCTATGAACAGAAAGAACAAGATCAATGATTTATAAAAGTAAAAAAAAAATTAAAAGAAAAAGTAATTTCTTCTTGAATTAACACAGGGACACAGTTCAGAGCATGGGGATCTGAATACAATGTCATGCACAATTACACGTAACAAATACGTTTTGATGACAATAATGTCGATTTATTACAGACCTTATGGTAATCAGAATGTAAACCATATCTGAATGTGATGATTTACATAATGTAAACAGACTTACTATACACAGACAGTACAGTAGAAATGACAATAAACTCTGATCATTTTTCAGAAAACTGGTATTTAAATGATACTGATAGTAGATCCAAATACCCGAAGGAGGAACAACAGGAACTAAGACTCACTAGAAGGGATTAATGTTACACTAAATTCCTAAGAGGAGGCCCATAACATTAATATAGACAGTTAACAAGGAGCCATGGAAAAGATGAGTTATTCTGTTTTGCAAGAAGTAAAGTGAATAAATTTTGACCGAAAGTGGTCAGCTTCTTGTTCTAAAACTGCCAGTCGTATAGAGCTTTGTGGCGAGTACTTGCAAGTGTGTTTTAACACAGATGAAAGTCAGCCTCAGGGGACAGGGCAAGGTCCAGGTTAAGAACCCATTCATAAATTTATATATAAATATATGTGTAAGTGTATAGGTCATGCTCAAAGTAGACATTTCAAATTAGCCAAAAGAAAAAAGCAACCCTTTGGTATATGAATAGATAAACAAAACATAGCATATATGTACAATGAAATATTATTAAACTTTATAAAGGAATAAATTTTTGAGACATGCTACAAATATAATGAAACTAGGTGAAACACGCCAGTCACAAAAAGATAAATGTTGCATGATTTCACTTATGTGAGATATTATACCTAAAACATCAAATTCATAGAGACAAAAACTGGTGGTTTTCATGGATGGGAAAGAGGAAAGGATGGGAGGGAGAGTTTTGTTAGTGGGTATAGAATTTCAGTTATGTAAGATGAAAACAATTTGGAGATTGGTTGCACATTACTGTAGAATGTACTTTAATGCTACAGAATGATATATTTAAAATCACTGTGATAATTTTTATATTATATATATAAAAATATTCCCATAACTGGTATGATATAATACCCTAATATGCAACCTAACATGATCAAATATAAGTGATACAAGCTTTATAGATAAAATAAATGATAGGTTATACACGGGGTAGTATTAAAATTGTGATTTGCTTTTAAGAAAAAGATTAAGAAAAACTGCTATAAAAGCAATGCATGTAAAAATTTATCATAAAAATTGATATTAATGAAAAAAATTTAGTAAAGTCTAGCAAATAATGCTATTAACAAATAGAATTTTAAAAGAACAAATAAAAGTTGAATATATAGTTAATGTTTCAAATTTTATTTCTTATCAAATAGTTTAATAATATTATTTTAGAAGAAGTATTTAATAGCATTTTATACTAATGGTAATATTAGTATCTCATTGCATCTAAAAGAAGGAGGAGAAAAAAATATACATGTTAACAGAAACAGCATGGATCTTGCTTAGGTTTATTTTCAGGTGAGTTCTTTACTTAAATTTTGCCATGCCAGTTTTTTGTTTTCCCTCATAACACAAGTATTTTAATTTATTCATGAATTTAATCATTTTACTGAAAGCTACCAGAATAGCCAGATATCATGCTTTTGTCAGTGTGTCATAGAATGAATAAAGCACATACATCCTTGACTGACTGATATAAAATGACTGCGTGGCATCACTGTGCAAACAGTGTGACCGCATCGTACACCAGTGTACAAATAAAAGGACAGCTCTGTGAGAACTACGAACGCCCCATTCGCCTCCAAGACCCAAGGACAGCAATGCACAGATCATGGTCTTGGTTTCAAGTATAGCGATGCAATTATGACAAATTTATTTCAGCTAACAAGCACTAACTTCTCAGTGCAGCGCAGTTCTAGCCTGAATCCTAATTCATGAAGAGAGGCTGAACTCTTCTCCTCTAGAGTCATTAACCAATAAATAATCTTAATAGAACACCTCCAAAATAGTACAAAGCAAACAGAAAAGCATTAAGTAATTAAGACTTCCTTATCTCAGCTTCTTAGCTCATTCACAAAGACTATTTATCATAAGCCAATAAAAAACATTTAGAGGAATCAAAGAACTGCTTTTAGTAAGACAATTCAGCAAGTAATAAGATAAAACTTATGTACACAGTTTAGAACACTGAAGCTTGCATGGTGGTTGATGCTATT